TGTATGTATGGATGCTAGTGTGTGTGGCACAATTTTATTCACCCTGTTTGAAGCTTAATAATTTCTATGCTTTTTGTTGAAAATTTCTGAAATTTTTGCAGGGAGATTTGTTTATTAGAGGGATTGATGCTATTAAATTTTGATAGTTAAAGGTCAAGGGGATGGGAAGATAATGGGGTCTTGTGTATCCCCAGTAGGGTCGGACTTAATAATGATTTTACTTGTTATTTGCATTTACAATTTTTTATAAAACTCATCCCTACCCTGAAAATTAAGCTTTTTGCCATTTTATAATAGTTAAAAAATATAAAAAGTTTTTAAATAAAATATAAAAACAGATGGTGCACCAAAATTGTTACCAGGAAACTCATATATAGAGTAAATGAAATTTTGAGACTTATTAGCTGCACTTTGATAGAAAATTTTGTGTAAAAAGAAGAAACTTGTTCTACTTAATTTTGTATTTAATTTTGGTAGAAACTTCAGAATGAGCATTTATGCTATATTTTACATATATATGTCCTGACCTAAGTTTATTTTGATTTTAAAATAGTGAAAAGGTTGTTCTGATTTCCTGATGCAGTGGCATGTAAAAGTAAATAAATTATTACTGAAAACATTGGATACTTTACTGTTAATTGTGACTAAGACAAATGCAGAGGGAGTAAAATATAGACTTTTACACACCATCAAATTCAAGCAAGTAGTCTACTTGCTTTAATCTAAGATGGTATCTAAAAGTCTGTATTTTCAATGAGAGAACACAAAGAAGTTTCATTTAGAATGTGTACTTTCTTTCTCTATTTGGGAATATATATATGAATTTATATTGTATTTTCAGATTTTTTTAATGAACATATGTTCGCATTGTGAATCAGTGAGCACTTTCTTATTTCAGCATGCCTAAGCTGGAAAGCTTATAAGACTTTTATGCAGTTTTGGCTATTACAAGTTTTACTTTATGATGATAATAGTAAACAGATAATTATAACAATTTGATTTTCAGTATTAAATAATTTTTATTTATTTCCAATATTTATCCTATTAATATGAATATGGTATGATTAAAAAAAAATAGATATAAAATTTAGAACGAAGACTTTCATTTTCTGTAGAGATTAATTTTTTTGTTTTGTATATTATAAAAGGCAATCTAAGGATCACATAAGAAAGCATATGATGGATTTTATTTTGTATATGAAAGTGTTGTTAGCAAGTCAGAATTTCGGGAAATGGTTGGTTCTCAAACTCGAAAAATTCTGATTATATAAAAATTAATCAGAAAACAACTTCAATAAAAATAATTGTATTCAAATTTGTAATTTGTAACATTGGAACAGATTTGTTAGTTACAAAAAAAAAATGATTATTTTGATTGAAATTTTTAAGACAAAGAACAAAATATAAGAAATATGTGAATTAGGTAAACTGTTGTTTAAACCCCATAATGTGAATTAAGATAATTATGTTTTAACCAGGACTGTATTGCTCAATTTTTTTTTTAATGAATAAATTGATTTAGAAACCTGAGTGATGTTAAGTGTTTTGTTTGTTAATTAACATGTTTGCTGCCAGTTGACACAATTTTGCATCATATGACCTTCATTTCAGTATGCTGATGACATGATTTTGCATCACTAAAACACTAGAATTTATTACTATTTGAAGTGTGAGAAATATTTTAGAGATTATATTTTATTACTTAGTTTTTTTTTACTTTCCCAATAAAATACTTATGTAAATAGTTTTTCATTATTTATGTCTTCAAATAGGTGCTAATGACTCAATTTTACATTGCCATGTATAATTCCTACAGTGTACTTTAAATGAAAAAGTTTTTTATTCTTATTCTGTATAAAATAATGGTATATTTTATGAATTGGTATATTTGGTGCAAATTTTCCTTGTAATGGGTGGCAGTGAATGTATTGATATATATTTTTAGTCCATTGATTAATGAAAATAAAATAAATCAGTAAATCAGTTAAGATTTGATTAATAGAATAACTATAATTAATTAATATAGCTTTAATGAAATTATATAAAGATTTAATTTATAGTTAGTAATATTAATCTAAAGAAATTCTATATGAAAATAAATAGAAATTAAGTTTTGAAAATATATAAAAAATAATGTCTTAAATGCTAACCTGCTTTGAAAATTGACAATGTATTTGGTTATGTACAGTGAAGAAAAGAAACATATTTAACTTTTAATATAAAATATTGTTAGAAGAGTTATAAAATACATTATATTAAATAAAAAGTTATTTATATAACTATTGTAAAATAAACTTAATTATTTAAGTTATAAGTAGACAATGGACATATAGGCCCTTAAAAGTGGCATTTTAGGCGCTTAAAATAAGCTCTTAAATTGCGTCGTTTAAGCTTTATAAACAAAAAATAGGTGGTCAAAATTTGCACAGTGAACAATTAACATACTTATCAGGATGACGAATTTTTTATTTAACATATGTATTCCAAACAAAAATGCACGTATTCAGAATGATGCAAACACAAAAGTAGACAAACAATTATCTTTACATTTTTTATTTGCTCTGTTTCCCATAGTTAGCTTCATACATAACATATTACAAGCACTTTTTCCAAATTTTCAATAGAAAAGTTGCAACATTTGTCACTGAGAATTAATTTATATGCAGAGAAAGAGCATAAATTTATATGCAGAGAAAGAACATTTGTCCATTATCTTCAGTAGATGTGTTCCACATCTACTGAAGATAATGGACAATATTTCAACCTTGGAAGAAGATGAACTGGGAATTCACCTTTGCTCTTCTTTCTTGCCAAAATATCAGTCACAATAAACTAGCACTTTAATCCGAGTCTCTTTAGAAACACTGCTTTCAACTCTTTCTTCACTTTTTTTGTAGTAGTGCCTGGTGCATCACAAAGTTTCTGGTTTGCTCTATTGAGGAGATCAATTTGTTCATATATAGGTTTCCCACTACTTTCAGGAGCAGTAATAGTATCTGCAATGAATGTGAAATAACACTTGATGTACTGTACATCAACTTGTTCTGAACATAAATGTCATTCAAAATTTTCTTGGCTTTAGTTACACAAACTGCATTGTCTGCTAAAGTGACCAGAAGTTTTTTGATATTGAAGAAATGTTCACTGTAGTAGTTAGTACAAAATCTTAGCCATCTACACGCTAAGGGAAAAATAGGCATTTGCCTAAAATCTGCTGTCTATAAATGACAAATAAAGCATCTCTAATGCTATATTTATTAAATAAAAGTATTTATTTTAAAATATTTCATATAGTTTTAATTTTATTACTATAAAATTGCATTGGGGTGTAATTTATTTTTGTTATTATTGCATTCTAATTTTTTCTGCTTGGGATATGCATGCACTGGGACTTAAATATAAGTAATCAATAATAATAAAAAAATGAATCTGTCTGATTGCATTTTCAGGAAAAAAAATGAAACTTAAGCAGTTTAATTTAAGAATTAAAGTAAACCTTTGCGGAAAATGAAACGAAAAATTAATAAAAACTTTTTAAAAATATGAAAACAGACTAAACTTTGTGTTTTAGGCAAAAATAGGCAGCAACGTCAAAATAAGCATTTTTAGGCATTATAAAATACAGTACCATTGTTTCGGTCTAAATGTTCATGAAAAGTGTTCATACAAGATCTTAGCCATGTACTGTACAGGTATACCTCGAGTTATGTCATTCTCGATTATACGTCGTTTGTCAAAAAATATACGGAAAAATAAAAATCAAGTTTAAGTCATTTTATTCAACTTTACATTCGTCTGCCACAAATATTGAAGTCGTAATATCACTAGAAAAACATTAAAGCACATAAAATCATATTAAAATATGTACATTTACAGTAAATGTTAATATAATCATCATAAATATTAGAGAATGAAACATGAAAATGTCTGTATTTCTGTGTTGTCATCTTATTTAATGGTCTTTAAGTGCTTGCTCAATATTGGTGTTTTCCATGGTAGCTCCAATATCTACCGTTTGGCATCGTTGTCAGCGCCACTCGATATTGATAAATTTAATATAAATTAGTTTATTTTCTACTGTTGCAAGATAATTTTAATAACTGTATTTGTTATTTAACCTTACAAAATCATCTTATTTTGTAATGTCTTAGAGCAAACCACATTCACAAATAAAGAGTCCGTGATGTACTGTAAACATCGCCAAATTGTAAACATTTACAGTACATTTACAAGTATGTACTGTATGTACATGAATTCATAAATTTAGATTACTTTTTTTCTATACTATATTAAAAACTAAAATTTGTTTGTAAGCTTAAAATAGATTCTTATTAACCATATATTATTAAAAATGCATTTATAAATAAAATACAGAACTGGGAATGGTTATTTGTGGTTTAGCCTAGTGACAAGTAAATACGGAGACAAGTAAATTTGACTTACGCTGTTTTTCGACTTAAATTGTCTCTCCTGGAACCAATTACTGACGTAAGGCGAGGTATACCTGTATATGCCAAGGAAAAAAAATAGGCACTTGCCTAAAATCCGCTGTCTAGTTATAAGAAAGCAGATCAATTATGATTTTTTCTTTTTTGCTGCAATGTTTCAGTTCTTATAAGTTTGCTATAGAATATTAGTATTCTATTGAATATTAATAGTTAAATTATATTATAGAACTCTTTTAAACTAATTTTGCTGTTACAATTTAATTTTTAGAAACTTCTTAATAGTTTTTATAAATTTATTAAGACTGTCAAGATTGTAAATATGGATATATCGATATGATTTTTTTAAGTATGTTGGTTTGCCTATAGTTTTTACAATTTTGATTGTAGAATTTGATTTCATCAGATTGTTTATGCTCATAATATTCTTTATTTTTATCATCTTTCAGTATTTTTATATTAATTATATAAATCATGATTCATATATATATAAAGTTTTACAATATTTACAGAAGTTTAAAATTTAATATTATAATATGACATTTTTAATTACAGTTTTTGAATTTTTGGCATCTGAACCAGATGAATTATTAGATGCTAGGATTGAATTAATGATCAAAGAAACAAATGAAGAAACAGCTTTAGGATTTTGCCAAAGGTGTTTGAAATATCTTGAAAGAATATCAACTAATGATACAATTCAAAGTGTATTTTACCCCCTTAAAGGATGTGAAATTTCAGAAATCATTGCAGAATTGAAAAGATTTTTCTTAATATGGTTAATACTTCTGCTTCATAGAAAAGAACAGTTGTATAATATTGTAAAAGAAGTATGTATTAATTAATGTATTAATAGAATATTATTGATTTATTATATTTATAAATTTAATTAAATGATTTTGATTGAATCAATTAATTTATATTCTTATTAAAAAATCTGTGAAGTAGGTTTTTGCAAAATTTATGAACTTTAGAAATTTTGTATTGAGTATTTTTTACTTTAAGCTCTTAAATATTTAATTCAATTTTATATGTCTTTTTCATAGAATATTAAATTTAATTGATTCAGAATAAATGACAGTTTAAAAATTTTATTTATGATTACAAATTGTTTAGTTTCAATTCCTCAAAAACAGAAGGTAGTGAGTTTTGAAAATTATATAAAAATCTATTATGTTATAACACACCAACAATTGCCATAAATCATCAGGCTATAATTTGGAATAAATAATTATAAATTATGACAATTGTTGGTGTGTTATTGCATTGCATCAGGTTAGTAGGGTTGTTTATAAATCTATTATGTTATGATTTAATACGGTAAAATCTTGTTAAATAGTATTTCATATAAATATACATTTTAAATTGATATAGTCACCTTAAGTTTCATAAAAATTTTTGTATAAATAGTCTATTTTCTATATAATAGTGTTGCGGGAAATTATTACTTATAATAAATCTTATTCACAGATAAAAGTATCCTTGTGGTATATTTGACTAACTTGTTTACCTGCTGCCTTTTTCTATAAGGATTTTTTTATACTCTCTATATTTAATTAATTAATGTTAGCTTTTTAATAGTAATTCTTGTAAAAAAAAAATAAGAAGAGTTTGGAACATAGTCATTGAAAATAGCATTTTTTATGAATTTGAAATCAATAATGATTATTTGAGTCCTTATTTTTAAAATTATTATCTGGCACTTTGAATATATATTGAAACTTTTGGTTTAGAATATCACTGAATATGAATGATTTATTTATACTCTTTAAAACTGTGCATCATATGTGTTATAACAAAATACTGTAAACATTATCAAAATCAACAAAGATAAATTTTTTTGTTATGGTGTAAAAATACAGCCATTCCTCACTTAACAGCTTTAATTCATTCTTGAGAACTTTATTGCTAGGCTAAAAGTTACTAAATGAATAAAGAAAGATCATAATTTCAATGGAAAAAATTATAATACTTTCCATCTGGATTAAAGTTATTCAAACAGTTTCCACAGGAATAAAAATAAATCAGTTGTGAACAATGAAAACAAGTTTACATTAGTAATAAACAACAGTCTGAAAGTAAATAAACATAGTTTGATTGTAAGATATAATATAATGGATGTTTTTATATTTTTCAAAATAAGTTAAGATTTATTAATGAAATAATTGGTTGTGGTTGATAATAGTGGAGAACAAGGAAGCCATTCTATAGAAAGTTGTGGAGAGTCAAATGACTATCTTCAGATTTCATGTCTGAATCAAATATATTTGAAAATTTCCTTTTACATGATACCTTTCACAGTAAAAATTCCTGATATGAAAGATCAATATATCCATTGAATTGGAAATATCACTGGGTTAAAGAAATTCAAGATGGAACTTTGGTTTCTTGTAGATTGTTTTTTACTCTTTCTGCCCTCTAGACACTAAGAGGACCTTTAACCAAGCTAATTTTGAGTTCAAGTTAATGATGAAAAAGGGGCCTGACAAATTTGGGAGAGACCACACCCAAACAAATTTTTGGAGTTTTTCAACACACCTCGATTAATTTCTGGGACCCCCAGGGCAGTATGTTCGTGAAGGGTACCAAAGCATATGTGATAGTATTTTTGAAAATACAGGTAGGCCTCCTACAACACGGTACCTTTACAACACGTTTTCGCTCCAACGCGGTTGGAAAAATGTGGAAATTTTCTTACAACGCAGTTTACGGTATTTAGAAATGAATTATCTTTCACATAACAAAAGTTGCAACGGATCATGTGATACGAACTGCAGTTCAGCATACAGAACTAAATGTCCTTGAAAACAGCTATTTGTCACCATTGGAGTGTTATTCCCTTGAAAGTTTCAGGGGAAGACCAGTTTCTAGACAGATGTGCATCAGTTACCATAAACACTCAAATATATCACTAAATTTTCCATCATTTATACTGTTTCAATAACTGGGGATAGCAAAAATGGTCCAAAATACAGTATAAACTTCTATTGGGTGTATGTTTTTAACAACATAGTGAAGAAAAGTTATTTTTTGCGATTTTTACTGTCCACAAAACTGATTGAAAAAATTTTAGCCATAACAATGCCGAATGAAAAGAAAGGACCGTCATTAAAAAGGAAATTTATAACTCTTCAAACAAAGATAGAAATTTTGGATTGAATTAAA